ACGGAGGCCTCGTCGTCGTCGGTTGCGGGCATCGCCGCCGTGGTCGCCGAAGGTCCGCCGCGAGGTCCCTGGGACACGCGGGAGCCCAAGTGTCAGGCGAACGCAAACGTGGATCAAGAGGGCGTGGATTAGCCACGGCTCCCGCTTCCAAGGGAAATCGCGGATGTCTGCCGCCGAACGAGGCGGCACCGGCCGCAATTCTAGACGCTTCGCGTATCCCCATCAGCACGCTCGCGCCATTTTGGCTGCGCCCCAACCCTGGTTGGCTAATCTTGTATGGGCGCGCTCCTGGACCTGGTCCCTGGCAGCTGCAGCTTGCACCCCCCCTCACGCCGGCCCGCCTGCCGAGGCGCTGCCCGTCGGCGTTAGGCAATTCGGCTCTTGCGCGGCCCGGTCGGACCTGACTCGCCGCTGGCGCCCTCGCCTGCGGTTGCGACAAATTTCCCCAGTGCGACCCTACCTAGAAGTTGGAGCCCCTGGGAAAGCAGCATTCTTTGCTATGCTATGCTATGCCATGCTATGTTGCGCTGTGCTATGTTATGATATGTTTTGATGAGCTATGCTACGACATGCTGCGCTGTGCTATGCTAAGCGCCGCCTTTGTTTTGCTGATATGCTCTGCTCTGCTATGCTGTGCTATGCTGTGCGGTGTTGTTATGCGCTATGCTATGCTATGCTATGCTATGCTATGCTATGATGGGTTATGCTATGATATGGTGTGCTGCCCTATGCTATGCAGTGCTGTGCTCTGCTATGCTAAAACTCAGCGAAGCTCAGATGAAGGTAAGCTAAGGTACGATAAATTTCAGTTAAGATGAAGCTAAGCTAAGCTACGATGAAATAAGCTAAGCTACAATGAGATAAGCAACGCTAAGCTAAGGGGGCGTAGCTGGGGGAACCGCGGGGCGGATACTGGGGGAACCGCCCGGGGCGCTTTCCATTGCCCGGCCCCTTTAAGCCCAGAGAGAGTAAGAACCCTTCTAGGCAGAGCCTAGGTCGGGGAAAAAACCCACCAGCCCATCCAGAGACGATGCCCAGGAAAACTGACGGAAGAAGGGAAGAAGAGACGCACATAGTGAACCAGGGCGGGCAACAACGGTGAATTGGGATATAGTTTGTGGCGAAGGTTGCAAGTGTTACTGCTGGTGCGCTTGCTCCTGCTGGTACTGCTGCTGCTGTTGTTGCTAGTGTTGCTGCTGTAGCTACTGATGGTGCTGGTTCTCGGATGATGAGTAGGCGGATAAGGAGGAGGAGGAGGAGGAGGAGGAGGAGGAGGAGGAGGAGGAGGAGGAGGACGAGGACGAGGACGAGGACGAGGACGAGGAGGAGGAGGAGGAGGAGGAGGAGGAGGAGAAGGAGGGAAAAAGGGCAAGGAGAAGGAGGAGGTAACATGACGAACATAAAATCCTGTTCGGATGTCTGGGAGTTGTTTTGGAAACCTCTTGGAGCGTGTGGGGGGATCTTGGGGGCCTCGGGGATCCTCTGGAAACCTCCTCGGGGTCTATTGGAGGTTTCCTGAATGCCTCTCGGAGACCCTTGGGATATTTCCTGGGCGTTTTTTGAGGCCTCTTGGGACGTCTTGGGGGTCTCTTGGCGGTCCTGAAGGACTCTGGGCCGTCTTGGGTGCCTCGGGGAGGCCTCTTGGGGCTATCTCGGGGCCATTTGGGGGCCTCTTGGGGCCTCCTGGGCGCCTCTTGTTGCCATCTTGGAGGACATCGATCAAAGAAGAGGGGTTCCCCAATTACGGTCCCCCCCATCAGGAAGCCAAAATGGGGCCAAAACCTTGGAACAACCAGTGATTTTGGTTTCCTCGCCGAGGCCGTTTTGGACGCCCCAACGCGTCGCGAACCCCCCCGTCCGGGGGAGGGGGGAGGGGGTAGGGGGAGGGGTCACGTTACCCCCTCCCCGCCCGCAAGCCGTCTCGTTCACTCCCACCCGCCCTCCCAACACATACGTAGCACCCGAGCCTGGCCCGAGCCTCAGCATATTCAGCAGTCGTCTTTGGATGGGCAGCTACTGGGGGCCAATCCGCCGCCGCCACCGCCGCCGCCTCCGCCGCCGCCGCCGCCGCCCGCCGCCGCCGCCGCCACGCCGCCGCCGCAGCCGCTGCCGCCACCGCCGCCGCCGCCGCGTCACCCGTGCCAAACCGCCGCCGGGTCGACCAGCCGCTGCCACCGCCGCCGCGCCGCCGCCGCCGGCGGCCTCCCGCCACCGCCGCCGCCGCCGCCGCCGCGCCGCCCCCGCCGGCCGCCCCCTCCGGCCCGCCGCCGCCGCCGCCGCCGCAGCCGCCGCAGCCGCCGCCACCACCGCCGCAGCCGCCGCAGCCGCCGCCGCCGCCAAGTGTATTCAGTATTGTTTTTTGTCAGGGATGTTGGGGGGGGGCCGCATCGGGTTGGCTGCGCATGTTCCGAATTTGGAGGCAGAGTGTGTTTTGTATTGTTTTTTTTTACAAGGGATGGTGGGGGTGGGGGTCGGCATGGACCCTGGTTGGCCCCCAGTC